GAAAGTTATGTTTAGTTTTCTCAAAGGTGTCTGTTATAATTGACTTCTCTTTGAGTTTATGTCGATAAAGTTTCCAACTTTCAGAAATAAATGTTCAGTTATTTGCTCTATTCAATAATGGCTTTAAATATGGAGTTTGTTCATCAGCGGCGCCATGTGCACAGAAAACAGGCAATAATGGATAGATGGGCATTCTGATGAGACTAATACATTTCTGGAGATACATGAACAGTGTGCAGTCGGATTGGCTACCCTGCATTATTTAAATTTAGTCAACAAGTAAAAGAAAATAAAACTTTTCCAATTTACTTCCACAGCATGAAAGCTTTTCCAGACGCTTTAGCAGCAACAACATGAATCTGTTGATGGAAAACCACAGATATTATATTAATGATAGTTTTTGAGGAAATGAGCACGCAAATAACATCAAGAGCATTTTGTAAATATATTTTAATATATTGTCTAACTTGGTGCGCTGGAGGCCCTGCCACCTGAGAGCATGGGGGTCCAGGTTTCCATGGTCCACCCGGAAACATGAAGACATTTCTGCTGGTTTGAATCAAAAAAAATAACAGGAAATGAAATAATTATTACAAATAGACTTTAGTAACTCTTTTGGCTCTATATGCATAAATATCTTCCGTGATAACGTAAAGTCCTCAATCATTAATAAGCTTAAAAACATGTTGCAGGCGGCGCTGGGAAGCTTTCATCTTCCTGAAGAAAAACGTTAAAATAATCTCTTTCTTTATTTATATTATTCCTTATAACTGACCAAACAATTCCCGGCTTCTAAATGTTTTGCCGTTTAAGGTATTTTTCTCTGGTTTGGGATTATAACTCCAACTTAATGCAGAATGAACTTTCATTAATTAGAAGAGGATCTTTTATTTCTATTAAACCATCCCATATCACGCAGCTTGAATTACTGTTGTTTAATTGTAAAATGAAGAAAGATGGATGCCCATCTCCTGCAGGCTGATCTATTTCAGGTTTTTTGTTGTTAAAGCTGATTTTTCATGTAAGGTTTTCATCTCTGAATTAGAATCAGACCTTCTAACTGCTGCTTTAACAGGGTGGCCGACCTTTATGCGCGCGCACATGCCTACCACCCAGACAGCCCGTCTCTGAGCCGGGGTGTCTGCTTGCCCCTGGGGGTCAAGGTCACGTTTAACGCAGAAAGACAACCGTGGCGGTGCAGGGCAGAGAGACATACGGATGCCGACTGAGCTCAAGTTCAAGGCCAGCGGAGACAGACGCGCTGCAGCTCCTGTTTGCTCCAAAAAAAGAAAAATCCAACAGCAGATAATAATTACTGCTGTAATCCTCACTGCCTTATTATAACTTCGATCATCTGAATGTGATTCCTGGAGAGAACAGAAGACTTTAAGCCTAGTTCATGTTTTTGGTTACTATGACTTAGTGAAACAGGACCGAGTTCTCTCAGACCAGCCAAAGGCATCAATAAGACTTTAGTTTGAGTTTGTCCCTTTAGTTTTTAAAAGAAAAATAGACTTTAAACTACATCAACGGGCGTGTATCAATTTATTATGTACAAGAAAAAAAAAAAAAAAAAAAAAAAAAAAAAACAACAGGTCAGATCGCCATATGCTTTAAAAAATCACCAAAAAAATAAGTTATTAAATTGTGACATGCCCGTTGATATAATTTATTGTATTGTATTTTTCGTACAAAACTAAAGGGATAATCGGGTCTTGACTATGGGCATAATATCAGAGATCCAAGTATTTTTCTAAAAGGATCCACTTTAAATCTGAGGCAAGTAGTGATTGTGGCTGTTAGATCATTTCCATCCCACCTTCACATGGCCTCTATAGCCTCTAACCTGCACGTTTTTAGTGGTTTAACTTCTCGGTGTTTTAAAATCTAAGAAGAAAATAAATGTTATCAACAAAAAGACGTAGTTTGTCCTTCATACAGCATCTTTCAATGCTTATAAACCAAAATGTTTCCTTTGAATACATGAATATCCTTTCAACATTTGTCCAAATAAAAATAGGAGAACAACACTGTTGACTGTTTGTGTTTTTCTCTTATGGCTGCTCAAACACAATGCAAACCTTTAGGAAAATAAAGGAAGTCACAAACTCCGATTATAGTTACACAGAATGCAAACCCCTACAAACTAAACAGTAGAGTGGAGGTTCCTCTTTTAATAATAAAAGCATAATTCAGGCCAATTTCGCGGATTAAAATGTGGCTCCTCACTTTATGCATCAGATTTACTTGTTCAGACTAAAGATAAACATAAAAAAATTACTAAAACCATTTATTCAGTCTCACGCACGTGATTCATTCAGTGTAACAGTTTAAAAAAATATATAAAACATCTTTAAACATGAGTATTTTTAGCGCTTATTAGAATAAGATCATACTGTTCGGTCTGATAGATGAGAACCTGTGTAACAATAAAAAAAAAATAAAAAAAAAACGATTAAAAATCCCATTCTGGGTTTTTGGTTGTTTTTGTATTTTATATAATTCTTTTTAGAAAATTAAATAATTTCGAAAAAGAAAAAATGGACTTTATTCTTTAAAGGAAGTGACTCATTTTTCCTATCAGAACATTGGACAGAAATCGTTCGTCATTATAGGAAAAAAAAAAAGAAGAAAAGTTGATGAAATGAGAAGGAAATCTTTGAGCAGCTCTGGATCGACTTTTCTATTCCTATCCACCATCGGTTCTAACTTAATAACAGGAATCAGCCTGGGGGGGCGGCTCACTGCGCTATCCTCTCAATGGATCCATTCGACCCAATTTAATGATCTAAAACAGGGAGAGAAAGTTTAGTGACAAAAATAAAGTTAAAAAAGCTAAGAAGCAGGTGAAGGGCGGAGGATGCAAAGCCAACCGAAGGAAAGAAAAAAGGACCTGGGGCCAAAAACTGAAAGGGGGGTGTACAGTTCTAAGTTTAACTTTTTATTTATTTATTTTTTTTTAAATCATGGAGAACAAATATAAAAATGCTGAAACCTCATTTTTATTTAATAAATATTTGATGTTTACTGATGTTAAATTTAGACCCATTTCCATTTGTTTTGGTTTTATTCAGCCTGGATCAGATGAAAGACGCAGAACCGCATTTCTTTAATCAATCCTTTAATGATAGCTGATAGTTTTAAATAGTTTTCTATCTGCGCCCCTTCGGTCCAGAAAAGGTGCGAATAAACCAAAATTTCCGACAATATGGCCGGAAGACCGCACCCCCCAAAAAATAAATAAATAAAATAACAGGTATAAAAGGAAGAGATGTGCGAGATGAACAGCCATCTGATTACAGCTTTGAGCAACAGACCAAAGAATCGATAAATAACAGAAAGTTTATAGAAATAAAATCAAGTTTCCGTTCCTCTGCGTCTTTTGTGAAATCAGTCATCCTAACAGTAGCAGACCAGCTTTAGTGAACTGGGCCTCAAACAAGCCTGTGTGCAGTTTTAAAGTTTAAACAAACTCTTAACAACATAAAAATCTTAAACACTATTTAGAAACATGTAAAACATGTTCTATTGTTCATTATTTAATGTATTGCACTTTAATATAAAATAATAAAAATAAATAGAATTAACAGAAATAATCCATGTGTAAGTTTTATCTTTTTTTTCTGCTTCTCTCTTTGATCTTAAAAAAATTAAATCTGCTATTCAATGAATTTCTATTTTAATAATTAAACTTTATTGATCTCACATTGGAGAAATTCCCTCTCTGCATTTAACCCCTCCCCTTGGGGAGCAGTGGGCTGCCATTGTGCGGCGCTCAGGGAGCGGCATGGGGTTAAGGGTCTTGCTCAGGGACCCAGAGTGGCAGTCTGTGGGAGAGGGACTCGAACTCAGAGCCTCAGGAAGTTCTATGCCCTCACCACTAGGCCACCATGTACTTCCTGTGTGTTAAGTAGAGTTAGGTGTGAAAAGTTACTAGTTACATTTCATTACTACTGTAAATAAGTAACTTACATTTGTACCCTTTTAAAATACTTTACAAAAGTTGTTATTT